TGCCGGAAGCCCGGCCTCGGCTCCGCGTCCCAGGACAAAGGCCCTGCAGGGTGCTGCCCGGCCTGCGAGCGCCGCTCCGGTTCCGAGCGGCGTCGCGCCTCCGCGTGGGACCCACCCCGGCGCCGCCACCCCTCTGCGCGCGCGCGCTCTCGCGCGCGAGTCCGAGTGCGCGCGCCTGGCGCGAGGGAACCGGGCGTTCAGGAATCGATGGAGGAGAAGGTGGAAGAATTGGGAAGTCGCAAGAAAAATACGTTGTGTTTGCATTAGCACTTGAACAGTGCACCAGCCAATGATTAAAAAAAAAAAATTTTTTTTTTAAATTTTTACTGCTGCCCCGGGGGCTGCTCCTTAGGCACCAATACGATATCTAAACCTACCTCCCTTCCCAGCCCCTGACACCTCAGACTGCGTGCGTGTTTATGTTTCCGTCAACCTTTACAAGCGATGGTGCGCCCGAAGGAGTTGTCTGACAGACGTAGGGAAGCAGTGCGTGGAGCAGTGCGTGGAGCGTCGGGCGCGCGGTGTGCGCGCGTGGTGAGCGGTTCTGCACAGGGCGGGTGTTCCCGCTGTGGAGCGAGCCGGCCCGCCGTTCAGTCCCTGCCTGCCAGGAGTGCACCTGGAGTCCCGCTGCTCCGCTTCCGGCCCGACTACCTGCTGATGCGCGCGGGGAAGCCGCGGAAAATGGCTCAAATACTTGTGCCCCTGCCGCCTGCGTGGGAGACCCGGGTGGAGTTCCCGGCTTGGCCCAGCCCTGGTTCTGGTCCTGTTTGGGGAGTGCATCTGCAGGTGGAAGAGCGCTCTGTGTGTGTGTGTGTGTGTGTGCGCGCGCCTCCCTCTCTCAGTCACTTTGCCTTTCAAATAAGAAAATATTAGGGGGAGGGAAGAGGAAGCCGTGGCCGGCGCCTCAAGTTGACTTTCTTGCCTCGTTAGTAGGCCGAGAACCCCTGTGGGCTCATTCAGGAGTTGAGACTGAAGGGCGATTGGTCAAGCAGAGACTGGCAGCTTCTGATGGTTCCTGGTTATACTCTTCTTTTCAAAAATCACGTGTGTGGTCTGTCTCCATACTTCGAACAATTATGGTGGAGATGAGCCAGACGGTTCTCTTCACACACCAGGGACGGGTCAAGGTTTCTCAGCCAAGCAGGGGAAGGGGATTTTTCCTGACTCCACATGTCAGTGTCCTGGGTTCAGTGACTGTCCGGCCTCAGGGCAGATGGCCCCGGCCTTCCCCCCAAACCGTCACTGCCCCTCTGTTGCCACCGCCCGCCAGGCTCCTTTATTTGGGGGCAAATTAAGTTTGTGTCGGCACCGGCAAGCTCAGAGGCGCCTGGAAAGCAGAGCGCAGGCGCAGAGGCGTGGGGTAGCCTGGTAAGTGCCCTCACCAGCCGCCCAGAGCAATGACAAGTGAAGAGAAGACTGAGTGCCTGGTGTGTTTGTTTGTGTTCTCTTCTGAGTATCGAAACACAGGCTTTGTAAGTGAAGAAGTGAATTCTAACCAACACTACATCATTCTGAAGTGGCGTTTAGTGAGCCCAGATTCGCGGAATATCCCGCAGGTCTCTCCTTAGACGGCGGCATGGCTGGTTGGGTTTCTGTGATGTCAAGTCCAGCTTTGCTGGGAAGTCTTGCAGGGAACCTAGACATAAACTTCATGTGTCCTTTTGCTCCATCCTTTATTCATGAAACTTCAACCAGGGTACAATATTCATCTATTAAATAAGATGCTGAAAAATGTGGACTCACACAAAAATCATGCAAGAAGACAGGCCAGTTTCGCGGGTGTTTTGATGAAAAGGCTTTCTGCAAGAAAAGGCGTTTCTGCCTTGTAAAAGGGTTACATAAAAAGTGCATGAGGAGTTTCTGCTGCAAACTCGAGTCGGAGTAGTATCACCCAAATGACCCAGATCCTCAGGAGAGACTTGATCCCCTGCACCTTCACCCATCGTACTTGGGATGCTTTGTGTGTGTGCCCTGTTCGATGTAGGTACAGTATGCTTCCTTGGCGTTTCAAAACATACAATAAAGGTTGCTTTTGATCAGCCCCGTGAAAGCAGTGAGCCTTAGTATGTTGAAACAATACTTTTTTTCTCTTAAAAATAGAACATTCCCCCCTCCCAAAAAAGGGACATATTGTAAAACGTGCAATGGAGTAACACATCATGAAAGTAAAGAAAAGTGTTCAATAATAGCAAAGGTAATACTTTTCTATAAGGACGGTTGGTTTTGATTAGCACCTTTTCTGTAAGTTTAAATCATTATCCACATATTTTAAGTACTGAAATTACAACTGCAACTTCTGAGTGAAAGTTCATTTTCAGCCTCTTAAGCTCTTAAAATCATTTAAATCACCTGTTATTAAGCTTGTTACCTAGAAACCAAATGAAAAATATCAGAGCAGTGGCACATAGTTATTGGGTATAAGGGAGTTCTTGTTTTTCCATCAACTTCTCATTTTTCTCAAACTGTATATTTTCTCCTTTAGCCACATAAAGTTGGATTGTGTACAATGTCAGAATGCATTCAGCCTTTAATTGCAAGCGCCACTAAAATTGCTGGGAAGAAGTTTGATATTGCTTAAAAGTTTTTTTGCAGTATTTTATGAGCAGAAATGATGGTGAGGAGATATGATGAATATTGAGATTAATGAATTGTTTTATTACTCCTCAGGCTGGCCAGCTAAATTACGTGGATCCAGCTACTGGCTACGTGGTGCTCACGCAGCTGGCCCACTTGCAGAGGGGCGAGTGCTGCGGCTCTGCCTGCAGACACGTGAGTACCAATTCTCGCATTACAGCCGCAGTCTGCGGTGCTTCTGAAACTTCGTAAATACCTATTATTTGAACAACAAGTCAAATAAAAAAGCGAAATAGACCTGGAGTGCACTTTTCACAAGCTACTTTAGCCAAGGACAATGAAGTCCTTAGTACCAACATAGGACCTTTAAAGTTAATGGAATTTTGTAATGTTTCACTGAGAACATCAGTTCCTTAAACACTGTGATTTGAAATTCATGGGAGCTCTTTATTGCAAGGAAACTTTTCATGAGGTTTAAAATAAGTTGTGCTCACTAGGCAGATGCAGAGAGAGGGCAGGAAAAGAAATCTAGAATGTTGCAAGGGGGATCCTAGAAAGCATTTCCTTCATTATTAGCCAAATGAAGAGAAACTTGCCCTAGATTGAGAGAGAGGTTTCCTTTAAATGATACTTTCTTTCACTCCTTCCTGGCTTCCTTTGCTTCCTCCCTCTGACCTTTCTTCCCACTCACCCTCTTCCTCCTCTCTCACCCTGTCTCCCTCTCTGGTCCTTTTCTGGTTTCTGTTTAAAATAATGGTGAACCTGAATGATCCAAATTTAGTGCTGAATAGCTCCTAAAATGTTTATTTCAATGGATAATTTCTATATTTACTGATTAAGGTGAACCATACTTACTCCTTCCCTTTTTTGAGCAAAGCATAAATGTCAAAGTGTTCTTCCCTATTTTTATTTTATTTTAAATGACATGGTAGTAAGGTAAATTGTTATAAAGTTAAGATTATAACCAGGTAATAAGTTCTGTTTACAGAACACTTTGTATGTTTTGTTGTTATTTCCTTAAGTTATTTCCTTAACTGACCTACTTTATAATGAAAGAATAGACACTAACTGCGTTAAGTTGTAGCTAGTATTGAAAAACTTATTGAAAAAGCTTATTGGCATGGGTAAATTGCTACCCTTGCCATTCATTGTTTTTAATCCAATGTATAAGACCTTTGCATCAACTGAGGACTTGAGGATTTTTTAGGAGTGCATTTTTGACAGTAAAATTCTTAAAGTTGGAAGGATGCTTTTAGGAAATGGTTCGTGGGCCTTAATTAGGACCATTTGCCTGAGGTTGCCATTATTCTCCTGTAAGTCTGCAGGGCCTGATAGATCAAATGATCTGTATCACCTTGTTAACAGTCTCTTTTGTTCATGAGAAGTGTACTCTTGCAGGATGATTATTAAATAATTCAATAATAATTTGTTTTATTTCTTCTACAGTGTCCATATGGTCAAGTCAATGTTAAAGATCCATCTAAAAAGAAGCAATTCAATTCATATTTTTATGTTTGAGAACAACTTCATACTCTGTTCGGTTGGACCTGTATTAAAAAATAATAATAAATCTCTGATCCAGACTTACTCTCTGTGCTGTTGGGATTTGAGCACTAGTTTAAACTTAAATACTTACGTTAAAAGAACATCAATAAAATGAAAAGCTAACAAATGTTTGTGTGTTTTTGAAGTGACACATTGATAGTTATTTTTCTTTCTCTTTGCTGCATTATCAGACACATATGTTAGAGAAAGCAAATAATGACTGCTCCATGAAATGAAAGTAGCGAGCAGGTGACATTAGTAGCTCTGGATTTTTCTTAGCCTCAGTTCGCCTACTGTTTTCTCACCAGTATTAGCAACCCAAGGAAGGTGGCTGGCAGATAGAAGACTGCATTCTTCATTTTATTTATATCTTGAGCTTTAAGGAGATTGATATAATGCTATCTTGTGCAGCGGATGGGTACCCAAGGAGTGCCATCCCGTGTCCAGAAATGCTCTCATCTTCCATCTGTTCCTTTCAATAAAAACTTGACATCATCGTGACTTGGAGCTCCAGCCAGCCACTGAAGAAGCCTGGCCGTGCCTGTCCTTTCTACCCTCCCCCACCCAGTCCTATTCCTATGTCTTTCGTCACTTCCCTAGCAAATCTCTTTTAACATACTAGTTTTCCAGCCCTCCCATTCACTGTACTGATACCCTGGGGTGTCAGTCTACAGGCCAAAGTCAGGAGTCACAGGGGCTGTTCTTCCCACACCTTCTCTGCCCTACCAGGGGTACAGCAGCCCCTGAAAGCCCTTTCCTAGCCCTGGGGAGTTGTGCAGTAAAGTAGAAGGCCAGCTTTGCCTGGATCTGACCTCGGTTTTTCTTTGGGGGGGGGGATCAGAAGTTTCCCCAAGCACCTCAGGGGGCCGCCTTGGACCCTGCCTGAGGCCAGAATGAGCTCTTAGAGAGCTTAAGCCCCCAAAGGTTCTGGTGCCTTCTGCCTCGTGCAATTCGAAACAAAAGCCCTTAGCTGGGAAACTAGTGAAAAGCCCAACAAGGTTGAAATCTCCCCCTTATTGTGATTTCTGTTTGTTTTGGGGTTTGTTGTTGTTTAATGTCGAATATTGAATTGTCTCCCAAAGTTGTTAGCTTTCTGGTACCCCAGCTGTGCTAGCGCAGTAAGCATGGTGCCCCTGGGTCCTGACACCTGACAGGACCTGACAGTATTCTTGAATGGAAAACAGCAATGTCTGTGGCCAGGCACTGTCCACTCAGACATTATTCCGAGGAAGGGAGTGGGAGAGGGGGATTAGCACGGTGACCAGGAGGCAGTGAGTCTTTCCAGAAAGACACAGGGGTTCCTGGGGGCCGGTTTCCTTTTCTTCCTGGGGTCAGGAAGCTGCCAGCCAGGTGGGCGTTTTCCACCAGATGTGGGTTGGTGGGTGGAGGAGGGAGAAGAGAAGGAAGCTGGGTCTGAAACAGAAGTCATCTTGCTGGAGCTACAAAGGCAGGGGGAAAGGAAGTTCGTTTGAAGAGGCCGCGTTTTCAGAAAGCCCGGGGCAGGTGGAAAGGACCCGTGGTAGGCGTCTTTCCTCCTGTCCGGGCACCACTTGCAGTAGGGAACTGGCTCAGCAAGAAAGGAATACGGTGGCGGCGGCCGGTCCAGGACCCTTAGGTGGCACGCTGCGGGTTCCTCCTGGCAAAACCTCAAAACTTGCTGGCAGCCACAGCAAAGGAGCCAGTGGGGGTGGGGATGGGGAGCTGGAGGGGAGGCGGTTGGGGGGCGCTCTTGCTCTTTCCTGCGCCTGGAGCTGCAGCGGAGGTCTGCAGTCCGCAGGAGAGATGCTTGCCAGGCGTGCTTCGGGGGTGGCAGTGGGGCAGGTGCTCCCACGTGAAATGCAATAGGGCCACATAAAGGGACCTCGCGCGTTGTAAAGGAACAATTCAGGTTTCTTATGAGCTGTGTACACACACACACACACACACACACACACGTGGACTCTGAGACTTCCCAATTTGAATCTCCTCTGGTGCTGCTCCATTTTCAAGATTTCTGGAGACCCCTTCTGCCCCCAGCGTGCAATAAATCCAAAGATTTCTAGATTGTTTCTAACACGAACGGCGCATCCCAGCGGAAACTGTAGGGATCTTGTTGAGCGCGTTACCGGGGTGCGGGGGTGGGGACGGGTTCGCACAGCGCTGGAGCAACGCCTGGTCCAGGAAGGGGCCCTTCTCGCGGCAGGTGGATCGCGGCTAACACTCGCCTCCCATCAGGAGCCGCCCTGTCCCCACTGGTTATGCCAAGCAAAGAAGAGAAAGGCTTTTATATTTTCGAGTACAACGTAGAGCTCCCATATAGGTTGTGTTGGAACGGCGGGCCTTGGGATGCAGGGGCGCTCTCTGGGCATGGGTCTTTGTTTGGGCACAGCGACCCTCTCACACGCGCTCGCAAAGTCTGTTCCGTACACACGGTTCCACCGTCAGACACCCGGAGGGCTTAGATTTTTGTCCAGACGCGGGTGGAGTGGCAGTGGGCTTTGACGCCACGCATCCCCCCACCCCGGCCGGCCCGGAGGGAAGTTCGCCCAGCACTCCTTGCCCACACCTGCCATAGGCAGCGATGGCTTGAGTCTGCGGACTGGCCTCCTGTCTGGTGGCAGATTTAAAACCCGATTCTGCCACTGCCTCGCAACAATGCAGCAGTTAAAAGGTACTCGGGGATACCCACGCTATCCTCTCCTCCCAGGAAAACAAGAAAGAAAAAGAAAGCTATTTAAGTGTGTGTGTGAGTGCGGGGAGGGGGGCGGGAGGAAGTGGTCTGCGCCGTCTCGGGCGCCCCTGTGGAGAGCCTGGTTTCGGAGAAACAGCTGTGGAGGAACCCGCAGCCGGCTTTAGGCGGGCAGGGATTGGCTGGTCCCTCGTGGGCCAACCTGCCCGGGGCTTCTGGATGCCCCAGTGTGTGCCACGGTGTCCCGCGGCTCCCAAAACGTCGGGCTCACGGCCCTCTTTCCGGGACCACGCGGGTGGGTAAAAGGGAGCGTGAACTGGGATCCACGGGAGATCCGCGACCACTACGTCTGAGATGCGAGAGCGCCTTGTTATCAAATACCTAGCCCAGCCCGTGGCCCCCAGAAAGGCTAAAGCCCGCCGTTGTGCTCAGGGATGAGTCGCGGGCACCCACCCCAAGCGTTGTCGGATGGGCGTAGCTGTCCGTCCCTGGCCAAAGAGCTGAGAAGCTGAATCCAGGCGGCCTGTCGGCTCCTGGCTGCTGAAACTGACCCAGATGGGGTGGGGTGAGGGGTCGGGAAGAGAGCGGAGGAGGCTGGGTGTGGGGAGCCGCGCGTGGGGGAGGTCCCTGCGGTGGGACTGATGAGCTGCGGGGACCGGCCGGGACGGCCAAGTGCGCGGGCGGGTAAAAGGACTCTGTCCAGGGTGCCCCGAGAGACGTACCGGGATTCGGGGTGGAAAGGGAAAGCCAGGGATTTCGGGGTCGCTGCTCCCGGTCTGTCCCTGGTCGACCCCCCGCCAAGTGTGTGGAGAAGCCAGGGGGGCGGCCGGCAGCGCCCGGCCCCACGTGCCGCCGCCAATCCCACGCGCTTGTCGCGGGGCGGGGAGGTGCGCAGGCGCCCCCAGCCCGCCGCTCCCCCGGCCCACGCACCGCCGTGGAGCCGCGATGGTGGCATGGGGAGGAGGGGCGGATAAGAGGGGAGGGCGGCACCGTGGCCCGGACCGGCATCCCGGAGCGGCCAATCTCACCGCACACACCCCCTCCTCGCCGGCGCCGGAACCTGGCAGGAGTCCCCCGCCTCCCCCTCTCCGACTGCGAGGGGCACACCGGGTGGAGAGTGGGTAAATCAGTAGCCGGAGGCCCGGCTGCCCGGTTCTCCCTCCACTTTCCAGCGGCCTGACCGAGCCTTGGGGCGACGCGGCCCCTGGGGAACCTGAGACCAGGTAACAACGGCCCTCGCCCCGTCCCGGGTCTGGCTTTCACCCGGGGAGCGCTTGTCCGCCCGGGTTTGCGTGCGGGATTCCTCCTCGAAGGTTACTTGCCACCCCCAGCCCCTAGCACAGGCCAGAGTAGGAGAGATGCCCCGGGCCCCGGCTCCGACCCCGTGGCAAAGGCCGCGCCCCAGCGCAGAACGCTTCCCGAAGTGCTGCGCTCCCGGCGCGCAGCCCCGGAGCGCAGAGAGCCCAGGAACGATCGGGAGGGGAAGGCGGGGATGCGGTGGGTGCGCAGTAACTGCCTTAGCCCAGTTTCCCGCAGGAGCTGCCGCCCATTCACCGTCTATGCAGGCACCAGCTGGCGGCAGCATCTTTTAGGTACAGCTCCAGGAAGGCAAAGGCTAGCTGCGGGGCCCGGAGCCCAGGGCGCGCCGCGGGGCTCTCGCTCCCGCAACCCCCTCCCCCTCCCCCGCTGCGCCCAAGCCTCAAGATGCTCCCAGCTTTATGAGGTTCAGTTACCGCGGAGTCCTCCATTAACACCTGCTCCGGTTACTGAGAGGCTGGAAGGGCCGAACACAGCCTCAGAGTCTGTCTGCGGGCACCGGCCGGTGCCTGTGCCCTCTGCCCACTCCCCTCTTCTCCCCCTCCCCATCTGGAAGCATAAACGGAGAATAAAAGACAGGTGGAGGAAAGTGAGGGTCAGAGGTGAGGGGTACAGGTCCTTTCCGACCTAGAAGGCGGGGAGGGAGGGGAGAGGATGAATTTTCATCCAACGGTTTGTTTTATTTTATTTGGGTTAACAGAAAAACCCTCGGCAAGAACGCGGGGACCGCCTGGCCCTCACCGCCGACCATCGCCTGCCGCCCTCCCTGTCTCCCTCCCTCGCGCAGGACCGAATTCTTGGGAGGTAACACCTGACGTCTGGACCTCAAGGTAATTTCCCGATGGGGGTCGCCTGGTCAGAGCAGCCCGCTGCCCCGAGTGCGTCGGGGCGGCTAGGACCCCCAGGGGCGTCCCGAGGAAGGCTCGGCGGGGCTGACAGTCGGGGGCCTGCCTGAGGTGTGCGCGGGACCCGGCGGATGGGAGGAGGCGCCTGGGGAGCTCGGGGCCTGCGCCCGGCTGACACGCGGCTTTTCTCTGCCAGCATCACGGCGCGACCGGCTCCGCGGCTCCAAGGATGCTGAACGGCACCGCTCTCGAAGCAGGTGAGTGAGACGCCAGCTTCCTTCTCCTTGGCTCTGCCCCTGTCCTGGGCCGGCGCGCGCGCGTGTGTCTGCACTCGCGTGTGCGCGCCTCCGCCAGCCGCTACCAAGAGTGGGGTGTGTTGGTCTTAAAAATTAAACCGCGCGTCGTAGGTCACAAAATACAGTCTTATTCAGGGTTCTTGACAAGCAGAATTCCTATAACGCGCGTTTGTTCTCTTTTCGCCTTTCCCTCGGGATGCGGGGGTCTCCGGCGGCGCGGGACGGAGGTCAAGGTGCCACCGCGCCTCCAGCAGTCGGCGTGCGGAGCGCACTCCTGACCCTTGGCCGGGCGCCGCGGGAGCCCCTGGCCGGAAGTGATGGGTGGGAGGGGGCCTGAGAAGACCCTATTTCTCCCCCAGGCAGGCAAGGCTCAGCTGCAAACTGGTTTCACCTACATTTTTGTTGTTGCGCGTCAAATCAACGGACGCCCCGCGGGACTTCTCCCTTGCTTCCTGGGGGGCAAAGGGCGTGGCGCAGCGAATCTCAGGTCAAGGGGCTTCAGATTTCAGAAACGCTGTGTTCTAGACTCGGCTGCACTGCATTGGGAGAAGAACCTAGGGGCCCAGGAGGACGGAGTTTGCTGGGCGTGAGCAACCCGCGGGAGGCTTTGCGGGCTAGCAGGGCTTGAGTGCGCGCGCCTGGAGCGCGCAGGAGCGCCGGGCCGGAGCCGGTCGTCCCCTCCAGGCAGTCGAGCTACCCCGGCCCGCAGCTCCGCTGTCTGGAGAGAGGCTCTCACAGTAGAACTTGATCAGTGTTGCGTCCGGGCGGCCGGCCGCGCCAGTCCGGACCCGCCAACCTCAGTGTTGGAGAATCGTTTGCTCCACAGTCAGAAGACCTCTCCTGGCCTAGACGGTCGCCTCCCGCGCAGTGCAACAGGGATATCCAGGGCAGGGTTGCGCAGCAGTGAGCGCAGTTCCCAACCCCAAGACGACGCTGACTTCCCCTAGGGCCTTGGGGTGCTCCCCAAAGTGTTCCAAGAGTTGCATCTTTCAGTCCAGATGGGGCTCTGGAGCCAGTTCATAGTGTCTAGAGGAAAGGGGAACCTTCCTTCCACAGTATCCTGGCCTCCAAAATTCACGTCTGAGGAGACCTTGAGTCACTCTGCTGTCCAAGGTGTGCAAGTTTGCTGGCTTAGTTCCCCCTCCCTGGGAGAAGGCTCCAGTTCGACTCATTTCCCCTCTTCTGCCCTCTGGACAATTCACTGGGCCCGGAGCCCTTTGTCCAGGTGGGAGCTGGGAACAAGAATGCCGCAGCCTCGTTCATCCTCATGGAGATGCCAGGATCCTGAATGCCGTGGAAGCTCCTCTGCCCCGCGGAGCCCAGACGTTGGGTGTTTCCTGAAGGTGACAACAGTAGCCCTAGAAGTGCTGGCAGGACTGAAAGTACAGAGAGCTGATGGGCTTTCTGTACCCGATTGTGAGGGAGGGCAGTGTGGGGCTGAGCATCTGCCCCACCGCTCAGAAGCGAGCTCTGAAGTCATAGAGGAAGCTGAGATCCTATCCTGGGAGGCACTCCCAGGAGCCCAGTGCACCTGTCCCATGGGTGGGTGGGTGTCTCTGTGTGTATGTAAAGCAAGGAGTCCAACTTTTATGAGAACACTTGCTGGCCATTCAGCCTGGAGCTGGGGGAAGGGGGAGCACTTCCTGTCGGCAAACCCTGGCCTCAGCCCCTCCTGGGGAGAGGTGAAAAAAGGCAGCTACAAAGGTGCTCTTTTTATTTAAAATGCTTGTCATCCTTTGAGAGCCAGGAATAGGAGCAGGGAGCAAGTCCTAGGCAATCTCTCAAAAAGCTTAGGACAGTAATTCTGGGGGCATCCCTGCACTCCTCATGGGCTCCCTCCAAAGGCTGAGCAGGTGGGGAGCTGTAACAAGGACCCCCCAAACTCCAGCAGCCCTCCCCTCCACCCACCAGCCCCAGCCTTCTGCAGACTTCCTGCATTTGCTGGGAAGGAGGAATCCTGGCAGTTTGCTTCTTTATGGGAAGTTGCAAATCTCCCTGGGTGCGGGAACTTACAACCCAAGTTTTATAAGAAAGAGTGGTCATGGCTAAGATTCAGCTTGGGGAGCTGAGTGCCCTGCCCTGCATGTACCTGACAGATGATGAACAAAATCTGTGTAGAATGGATGAATGAATGATTGCATGGATGAGTGAAGGGAGGACTCCTTTGCTTGGCTTCCCTGGAGACTGCTCCCAAAGTTCTGGCTTTTTCCTGGAGTTTAACAACTTTCCCTTCATCTTCGACATTTCATCTCTGGCAAGAAGGGCAGGGTGTGCTTGGGTTGTTTTTACTTATTTATTTTGTAAAATGGTTCTTGCAGAGCAGCACCAACATCCAACATCCACCAAACTTGATCCCATTTAAGGAGGAGGGGAGGGTTTGGCTCCAAAACGTGACAACCTGGGAGGATGTCCTGGGTTTATCCAAGGACGTTCCTCTCCTACGGCCCTGCTGCTGGGTCTCCTGCTCCCGGACTGGGTGGTTCGGTGGCTGTTTGGTAGGAAGGCAACCCGCCCTCTTTGTGCGGGAACCTGCTGTCTGCGAAAGGGCCCCTGAGCCCAGCTCCCCGCCTGGCCCAGCCCTTCCAGTGCGCACGTGGGTCTGAAAAGCGCACTGACTTCCATCCAAAGGGGCTAATTACATTACTCACGGTAAATAGCCGCCCCGCTGTCAGGTGGGGCCGCCCAAGTGAGGAGGGGGCTGTCTCCAGCTTAGTTCACTCCATTGGCTTCATTTTTGTGTGAAATTGTGTTTTATGAGCTGTATTCTGGCACCCGGAGGACCTTAACAGCGTCCAGTCTGCAAATAACATTATTTTTGACCCTGAGAAAAAAGGAGGGGAAACAGCGGAGGCTTGGGTTTCCTGGAAGAGGCGGCTGGAGCGGAGCAGCAGGCGAGGCTTTGGGGCGGGAAGTCGGGCTGCTGCGCCCGGACGGCCTCCCCGCTTGCGGCGCTCCGGCGTCTCCTCCCCACCTCGCTCCCCTCGCTTCCCTCTTTTCTTTCCTTCCTTTCCGCTCCCTCCTTCTCCTCCTCGGGCATCTCCGGAGATTTTGGCCGCTGCTCCTCGTCGGGCTCCCCCGGGTGGAGGGGAGCGGGTCTGCGGCCGTGCCGCCTCTCCGGAGAGCATCCAGGACCAGCCAGGACCTGAGCCCCGCTATTCCCGGGAAAGCGTGCGGGGAGGCGCGGGGAGCAGGGGCCCGCCAGAGCGGGGAGCGGCCAGGCGAACTCCCGTCTCGGGTTCTGGCGGGGTTGGCTCCCTCTGCTGCGCCGCGCTCCGGGACCCCGGGGGGCGTCGGGCCGTTTGAATGAATCCACAATATCGGGGTATTGTAGACACTTTAATGGGGCCGGGGAGGGGCTGCCGCTCGCGGGAATAGAGGGCGACAGAACAATCCCGGCTCTTGTGAGGAGAGGGTCTGCCGTGGGGCTCGTCAGTTCTCACCTTCCTCGCCTCCTCGGCCAGGAGCCCGTTTCACGCGCCGCGCAGTGTGCGGTGCGCCCCGCGGTGCGGGAACAGCTCCCGGGAGCCCACGCGGGCGAGTTCCCAATGGGACACTAGGGTCCCCAGCACTTTGCGCCAAAACCTGGGTCAGAGGGGAAAAACCACCCCAAGGTCAAGGTCCAGTTGCATACCCACGTGTGCAAGTCCACGTCCTGTTGCCTACCCTCTAACTTTTCAAAGAAAGTCTTTTTTTTTTCCCCTTTCCCTAAACCAACCTCCCGACACGCGGCTTCGGAGGACTCTGCAGCGCCTGGTAGGGTCTGGGGTCCTCCGGAGGGGGGAGGCGAGGAAATGAACTGTCAGACAGCTGCTTTTGACAAGCGACCGGGGAAGAGGTGGGGAAGACGGGAGCCGGCATTATCTCCCACTGCACGGCGGAGCTTGAATGCCAGCCCTGGGTTTGTGTATCTGGGGTGGTGGTCCGTAGGGCTGGGGCAATGGGGGTCTATAAAGGGGAAATCCCAAAGTTCGGGGCCGCTAATTCCGCGTGCCTGAGCTGGGGTCTGAGCTTGAACTCGGATCAAACAGGCCTCGTGGGCAGGGCGGGGACAGTAAGGGCTCCTTTCCCCTCTTTCAAACACGGCTACTCTGGGAACTCTTGCAAGGACGTGTGGTGGTGTGTGTGTGTGTGTGTGTGTGTGCGCGCGCGCGCGCCTTGCGAGGAAGTAAATGCGCCCCCCCCCCGTCTCTCCCCCACCCCTTTGTAATGTTTGTCCCCGCTTGCCCATCACCAGGGGGTTGAGAGGAGTATGACAGGTCTTTGTTGTCTGGATAAAAATCCGTGGCAGCTCCAGGGAGAGAACTCCTCCTACTAAATTATCAAAAATGGGCTGGCTTTAGTCTCTTAACAAATTGGACACAGCTCGGGCAGGAGCAGTCCCCAACCCAACCTACCGGCACTGGGAACTTTCCACGCAGCCAGGGACCGCTGAAAACAGCACTTCTTCCTCCCTCTTTGTATTCAAAACTATTTTCTCTCCGCACCAGATTTTGTCCCCCCCCCCCCACGCTGCAGTTGTTTCCCATTAGTAACTCGATCTCCGCGAGCAGTGAGATTCGCTCTCTTCGCCTGCTTTCCCCGCCGCCCGTGTTTGTTTGTTTTTTGCACATCTCCTTCTGGGAGCTGGGGTCTTTCCCCCACCAAGCAGACCGATTTCCACTCCGTCTGCCTCTTTCTTCTGCCCTCGCTCCCTCGTGCTCTCCTCGGTCCCCGAGCGCCTCTGCGCTCCTCCCGCGCGCGCGCGCGCGCGCAGCCCTCGGCGGTCCCGGCTGCTGCTTCCCTCGGATGAGCTGAGAGCCGCGGGCGAGTGTATATGGAAATAGTGGGCTGCCGAGCAGAAGACAACTCGTGTCCTTTCCGCCCCCCAGCCATGCTCTTCCACGGGATCTCTGGAGGCCACATCCAAGGCATCATGGAGGAGATGGAACGCAGATCCAAGACCGAGGCACGCCTGGCCAAAGGCGCCCAGCTCAACGGCCGCGACGCGGTAAGCACGGGCCCCGCCGCCCCGGCTGCCGGGCGCCCCTGCGCACCGCGCGCTCAGCCGAGCGTCGGCGCCGTGGCCTGCCGCAGAGGGGGATGGCGGCTTGCAGGGTCGTCCGTCCATTAGGGCTGGCGGGAGAGTTTCCGCAGCCCGTCTGGGTCCGCGGAGCTAAGAAATGGTCGCCTTTCCATCTTGGAAAGTCTCCGCTTCCGAGGCCCCCTCCCCCTCGCCCCCAAGTTCTCTGCCCTCTGTCGCCCCGTTTCCCAAGCGAGGAGGACCAGCCGGGGGTGGGAGGAGGGAGGCGTCCTCTCTGGCAGACCCCAGGTGCCCGTGTCCCGGCAGCGTGGGCCGCGGCACGCTTCCTCGGCGAGGACCGCAGCCCCAGGCGCACGCCGGGCGCGGGCGTAGGAGGACGGCGCGCCGTGGAGGCAGGCAGGCAGGCGGGCGCAGCAGAGCCGGAGCCCAGGTGGCCTTAGCCTCGCGGCCCGACGACAGCACCTTGGAGCGGCCCCGGATGCGGCTGGGCCACCTCCAGCTCTCTGCGCGCGCAGGGCTCTGCACCCCGAGATCCGAGATTTTTCAGGCTCCTGGGCGTCCTAGCTCAGTCCCCTTGGACTTCGTTCAGCCCCCCGGGACGAGGCGGGTGTTCTGTGTAGCGGGAAATCAAACAAAAAAATGAGGAGGAACGCGGCGCCCGGTCCAAAGCCAAAAACCTTTGTAGTCCTGAAACGAGGTAACCAACGAACGCTGCGCCTCCTATTCGTAATACTAAAAGTCGCATCCTCTTAAGAGCGCCCTTTGGTAAATCTAAGTGAGTCCCTTAACTACTTACGAGCCAGCCGGGAGGGCGAAGACCGCTCAGGTCTCCGGAAATGAAGTCGGCCAAACAGAGCTGAGCAGATCTTTGGTCTCGCGCCGGGAATTGCAGCTCAAACCCAGCCTGGAGGCTGTTCCAGGTTCTGGGTCCCGCCGGGTAAGCGAGGGCGGTGGATGTGTGTCCACGTTGGCAACAGTAATTCAGGGCAGGTCCCGGTCGGAGCAAAAGGCAAAGCCGGAGTTTTCCAGGCCTGCGAGAGAGTTTCCTCTGATAGTCCAACAAGCTTGCAGCTGGTTCCCGGGGGAAGGCCCGGCGAATACGTTCTTTTTCTCTTTTGTGGTTATCCTGCTTAGAAACAAACAAACAAAAAGCAGAAACCCAAACCCGAGTTTCACGGAGGGTCTGGGTTCGGTCAAGGTGACGCTGACCATCCAAGGTTTGTCAGTGGGCACCCAGGCGGGAAGTGGCACTTGGGCATTAAAGAGATGCTTGTTCTGGCCAAAGATCTCCTGATGTGATGGTGCCAGAGGGGACCGGACAGCGGCACTTCGCTGGGAGCAGCTACTTCACCCCCTCGCGGGAAACAGAACCAAGAGCTCCGAGAATTAGGGAACAGCACGATATAGCCACATATTGCTCTATCTCCACCCGAACAATGGAGAACATAGGCAAATAAGCTCTTCCTTTGTGTTTGACTTCAGTGTTGCTTATGAGTTTAGAGAAATAACAATTATAATATTGTTGGTTTGTTTCTGCATAAAAAACAGTCTGGACAAATCCAGATTTATTGTCCTCTTCTCCAATCATATTTTCCGTTATTTTATTTTCTATGAGTGGAAAGCCACAATTTTTTTTAAGCTGCTAATTATTCTGATCCGGGAACACTCACCAAACAGTGGACAATTCGCGGCTGTTCTTTCCTAAGCCAAGCTCAGGATGGGCAGGGTGATTTTGGGTTCCTAGTCTGGGCAGACGTCAAATGAAGGGAGTGGGCCTCAAAGGGAGAAACTGGCCAGCTTTCTCCTGGCGTCTGCCTCTGCTCTGTTTGCCTTCCTCCCCATCCCCGCCGCTCCGCGTGCGCCCCGGGCTGGGCGGCCCCGGGGGTGAGAATCCCGCGTGGTGCGGCCGCGCCGCGCTATTGCTCAGCCGGACCGTGTGCTTGCCTTCCAGGGCATGCCCCCGCTCAGCCCCGAGAAGCCCGCTCTGTGCGCCGGCTGCGGGGGCAAGATCTCCGACAGGTATTACCTGCTGGCGGTGGACAAGCAGTGGCACCTCAGGTGCCTCAAGTGCTGTGAATGTAAGCTGGCCCTGGAGTCCGAGCTCACCTGCTTCGCCAAGGACGGCAGCATTTACTGCAAGGAGGATTATTACAGGTACCTCCCCCTCCCGACCCCTGCACGCCCTCCTCACGCCTTCTCGGGACACCCTGCGCGCCACGTGCGTGAGCTCAGAGGCCCCTCGCGGTCCTCTGCTTTCGCCCCTTCGGGTTGCGAGTATCCTCCCCGACGCCGGGGAAGTCCACTGCTTGTCTCTTCAAGTTGCAGCCCGGGAAGGGCGCTGGGAGGAGCGGCAGCGGCCCCCAGGCCTGCCGCGCTCCTGGTGGGTGCCTGGCGCTGCGGGCACCTCGCCGTCGGTTGGCAGAACCTGGGGTGGTCGGGGAAGAGGAAGTGGACCTATCGGTTCACGGAGACAAGAGTCAGTCTCTCTCTCTCTCTCTCTCTCTCTCTCTCTCTCGTTTTTTTTTTTTCCGCTTACTACGAATTGGGCAAGCCCCCGCGCCTTGGAGCTGAACCCGAGGTGCGGGCAGCAGCAACCGCGTTAGGATTCACGGGTGGTGGTGGCCGGCCTGATGCGGTCAGGTAGAACCGCAGCACAGGGCAACCGCAGCCGCGGGCGCGCTGATTGATTCTCCCTGATTATGTGTCTGGGGTGGCAAAGGACAGGATCGTGTGCGGGTGACCCAGCTCCGCTCCCGGCCAAAGCACCAGAGGTGGCTGAAATCCAGAGCGACGGTTCTTCGGCAAAAGCTTGGGGCCCTGTCTGTCTGTCTGTCTGAGTTCAACTGCGCCCGCGGCACCTTCCTGCATCCAGGGAATATTTTGCAACTGATGAAGCGTGCTTGCCTGGCATCACAGTTTAATATTCTTTCGCTAGCGTTTCGAGGAGGATAGCGCAGGCTTTGTGGTTTGCTTTAAACACACACACACACACAATCTTCACTTGACATGAAAGCAAACTGGGGCTTTTACCCAGCTCCTCCGACTTTATAAGGATTCCTTGTCTTGTTCACCAGGTCAGTGAACCCAGAGAAATAATGTCTAAGCGGGACCCCTACCCACCTCCCAGATCAACTCCCGGCTTCGTAGGCAGGCGGGAGAGATGGCCTGCCTCGAATCACCCAGAGCCCTGACTCGTTTGTTTCCTTCCAGAAGGTTCTCTGTGCAGAGATGTGCCCGCTGCCACCTTGGCATCTCGGCCTCCGAGATGGTCATGCGCGCCCGAGACTCCGTCTACCACCTGAGCTGCTTCACCTGCTCCACCTGCAACAAGACTCTGACTACGGGCGACCATTTCGGCATGAAGGACAGCCTGGTGTACTGCCGCGCCCACTTCGAGACCCTCTTGCAAGGGGAGTACCCGCCGCAGCTGAGCTACACGGAGCTGGCGGCCAAGAGCGGCGGCTTGGCCCTTCCCTACTTCAACGGCACGGGCACGGTGCAGAAGGGGCGGCCCCGGAAGCGGAAGAGCCCCGCACTGGGAGTGGACATCGTCAATTACAACTCAGGTGGGCCCCTACCCGCGCTCGCTCGGGGAACTCCACAGAGCTCCCTCGCCGGCCAAGGTCTAGTTGCCCACCGTGCCCCCGTGCGCGCCCCAACTCCTTCTCGCTCTGAGAGGAAGGGGAGGAGAAGGGAGAGGCAGCGCGCTGGGGATGTGGTGATTTCTCCCAAACAGGCAGAGCCAAATCCTGGTTGCCCATTAGTTAATGAGCCCATTAGTTTCTGGCTCCCAGTTGGAGCAAAACAGCCCCAGGGCAGTTCCTTTGTGGAAGCCAAATTATAGATCCTGGAGGAGGTTTTCCTAAATCCTAAAGGGGGGGAAAAAATCTTCAGAGCCCAACCCAGGCCTGTGTTAAGGGGGCAGAGGCTGTGGTCCCCAGCCCGAAGTTAATCAGGAACACAGTTGGCAGGAGTGTTGAACCACCCCAGCCCTGATCTTGGCCATCAGCAGCTGCTCGGAGGGAGTCCCTCTCCACAGCTGAGCAGGCCTGTGCCTTCCCCAGGTCACCCCCGGCTCACTGCCTGCATGCTAGACCATCCCGATGTCCAGGACTTGGTGGCCTGACCAGTTCTCTAGGTCAGGCCTGCTGAGGACCCCAGCTTAGCGGAATCTCAGGCTGCTCCTTTGTCTTCCAGCAGCCTTCTCTGGTCATTGAAAACACACGCAGGCAACAAGCCGAGTGCACAGCCTTTGTGCTTGTTTTTGGGGACATACCCAGCATTTATCAGTTTCCCACTGCATCCTGCGTGCGGATGGTCACGAGTCTTGTCAAGGGTACCCTTCTTGGGAGCCCCAGCTGCTGCGAATAAGGGTCGCAGAAAGCCTTGGCTAACTTTTGGTGTCCCTGCGGACCTGAGCTGCACCAGAGGTGCCTGGGAATCTCAGCAAGCAGGAAACTCAGGCTAGGGAAACCATTCCATTGGAAAGGATTTGGGGGACCTTGAGTTGTTAGCAGGAGCACTCAAGATACCCCACCAAACCATGGTCATCCCCAGAGCATGCATCTTGCCTCTTTTTCCCTTCCAGTCCCCAGAGCCCATTATATGGGTAACAGGAGAGACACAGTGTCTAATAAGTGAGATGATTTGCCCAAGGTTGCAAGACTGGTGGGAATATGGGAACTAAGAGGTGTACTTTGAGGGTTTTCAGGGGTAGAAAAGGCAGGATGAGGGGTTCTCTCCTAGGCTTGTGTTTCTCTTTCTAACTGCAGAGGACAAATCAGTGCTGGGCAAGTCATCCCATGGTTGCAGAGAGAATGGGGGCTACAGTACCCAGCAACAACCACACTTGTGCCTAGGGAACTCCTGCCAGGGTCGCTGGAGGAAGGGAAAGGGCTGGGCTGCTCTGTCCACACCCCACCAGGGCTGGCTGTGTGAGGGTGGTGGTGCAGCCCTGGGTTTCGCCGACCCTCTGCAGCAGCCAGTCCTCATGCTCGCCCCTGCTGTGTTGGGCCAGGGGCTCTGGTTAGGGGCCACTGTGCCCAGCATGCTTATTTCATCTCCTTTGATGCGTGGTCCCCCGGTGGGGCAGGCAGGGCACTAATTGTTCTTTATTAATAGAAGATGACATTGGAATCTTGAGCCATTTACCAAGGCCCTAATGCTCTAATTAGAGAGAGGGAGGGAGAGAGAGAGAGACCAACCCACTCAGACCTAAGTAGGGAGTCCTTTGGGAAAAGGGAGTCTCTCAGCCCCAGTGACATCTTAGAAAGGTGAGGTTTCTAACCAAATGGTGGTGAGCCTGGCATTTCCCTTATTTACTTAATCTAATTAGCTAAATTTGCTTTTGCCTGGGGTTTTATTTTATGTTGGAAAGATGTTTAGGAACAGTAGAATTTAACTTCTCAGAAGAAAACTGGAGTACAAATCTATTTCTTACAAAGAGCCATTTAGGTCTTTAGTTTGCAAATTAGTCTTGCTACAAGTTGTTGAGAAAGTTGGTGTGGCCCTCCCCAGGACAGAGGGAAAAGTTGCCGAGACCACTCCCCAGTGAAGAGCGTGTACGGCACACTGCCACTGACAGGTGGCAACTGGGTCCCTTCATTTACATCCACGCCCTCCTTTCTGGAGGTCTGAGTACACTGTAGATAGTTTTTTAAGATCAGAGGAAAGAATCTAGAGGCCTTGGATTCAAGATGCCTAAGTAGAAATCAACCCACAGTTTTAAAGAAAAGGGCTTAAGAATTCAATGCCAATTTGTTACAAAAGTAGGGAAAGAAAAACCCTTTGGTAGATTAAAAACATGTTAAATGTAGAAAATAAAATGGACCCACAGTTTAAGTCATCCTTTTAGCCCTCTTTGGATTGTATGTTGCCATTTCCACTTAAATGTCAATGAATCTCCTAAGGGTAATGTTGATACTAGACAAAATGTAATTTGCATGGTGATACGTTTTCAGAAACACGCACACAAAGCATGTTTGTAGATTCAGAGACTCAGAGAAGACGTGAAATTTGGCAAATGCTGGTTAGTGCTTGGCATAAGGCAAATGCTTTTTAATGAGAATGTTCCTAATTTACTTTATACCTCTTTGTGCAAATTAATCAGGCAGATGTTTTAGAAAGAGGCATGGAAAGTTTCTCTGGAATGCTGGACTGAAATAACACCCTTCCGGGGGAGAAGAAAATGCTAATATGGGTTAGGCACTGCCTATCTGGGTAACTTAGCATTAATCGAGCAACTAAATTTTTGGGACTTCTCAGAATCTTCTTTCCTTGGGGTCCCTTTTCCTTTGCAAACGTCTAAGGTTCCCGTTGGTTGTTAAATTAGCCTGGCACTGACCCCTAGTGGTCTCCCAGGGATCGGTTAATTCTCAGAAGCTCACACACCTTCACAACAGAAACTCACTTTAAGAGAGGGGACTGGGACAAATGCAATTTATATAAAATAAATAAAATATATAGATAGTCTCATTGATGTGAGCTGTGTCCTTACAAGTGTGTGTTTCAAACAGTTTTAAGAGAGTTATCATCTTGTCTCATATTTTGGGGGATAGGAGGAGCCTCTAAAATTTCAGAAATAAATTATGGAGAAACACAATCATTTGTAAGCTTACAAAATGCATTTATACATAAATCATTCAGGATACTGCAGTGAGTTACTCAGTAGAAGAAATACATTTCTCTATTAAGTTGCATAATGTAAATAACAGTCAAAGGAAAGTCATGGAGAGTGGTATCTGTTTAATAAAGCCCTTCTATGTTCTTACACACCCAATTGTGTATTCTGTGTGGAAACAGCCCTATATGATGTAATGCACTCAACTGCTTGGGTGAGTTTTAAAATCAACAATAATGGATAGAGTACATGTTCAGGGAGGCAATTACATCGTCTTACTACAATTATTTTTCATAAACTTCATTTCAAAGATGCATGATTTTATGGTTAGCTTGAGAGTCATATTCATTTCTGAGTCTTATCATGGGGGGTGGGATTCTGAGGGCATTATTTAAACACTAAGTGAAATCCTTTGTCCCAAGTATAATACTCAATTTGATGTATTGTTCAGGAAAGTTACATGTTATGCACATACAATGGGAATGAAATGTCAGTTGAAAAAGCTTCCTGTGACTAGCATGTGTTTCTCTGACCATTTTGTTGTGGTTGCGTTTATAATTTAGAAGTGAAATGGAGCTCAGTTTGCAGGAGATAAGTGCAGTGTTATGGTGGGTCGTGAGGTGCTGTTTTTATACATTTGAGGATACGGAAGTGCAATTCTGTAGAGTATTTGAACTTGCCATCTGCCCACTGGGTTGAAATAGGATGAAATGTAAGTATCTCTGGGTGTAGCTTGCCATTTCTGGTGGGTTTACAAAGCCTGTGTTCAACATCTGAATGTGTATGCCTGACTTGGCTTCTCTTTAGAGATGACTTGATTTTGAACCAATAATCATTTGTAATTTTATCGATGAACAAATGGTTCAAAATCTTGACTGGAGTCTGTGGAGCTCCTGGTCCTGTGTTTGACCCGGGGGATCTCAAGGTGAGTGTGATACATGCTTTTCCCTTGGCTAAGACCACCTGCTCCCTTGCCAGGTGTGTCTTTCAACTTGTGTATCTCACAGAAATACAAACCAAGGAGACCTTAGTTCATGCTTAGTTTCATTACATTGGGGAGAATTTAATGTTAAATGAATTTTGTGACCTCTTATAAAACTTTTTGTGGTTCTGTACATACACGACTTACTGAATGTATATGTGCATTTTCTGGGTATTTTTAAAATGATAATTCCAACCACTGCATAGCAAGCAGATAGCATTTAATTAAACAGGATGGAAGAGGCAAATTAAGAAATGTCTCATTTTTCTCAAGATTCAGTTTTCTTTCCCCACTGTGTGGCCTGATCAGGCTGATTTTAGATAATGCACTATAATGCTCGGTGATCAGATATGAATATATGTCAGATAAATATCTGAAGTAAGGATTTCAAGAAAAAAATGCCACGTACTTTAATTGGTGAGGTTGGCTGAATCAGTAAATAGCAAAAGGTTTTCACTTTGTAATCACATTTCCTATGCAGAGCCAGCAGGTTATTGGAAATGACCTTTTAAATGTGCAGCTTTATTTCCTGGGGAGAAGGACTTTCTAGCTGGTTTCAAAGGCTGACTTGTTTTCCTCTTGGTGCCAAGGAGGGCTTTGCCAGGGGAGAGAAGATGCCAGTCTCTGTCTGCCAGGCCAGCTAGCGGTACACACACACACACACACACACACACGCATCCCACTCACACACATCCAGAGCAACAGGGCCTGGGTTGAGCCCAGGTAGCAGCACTGTTGGGGCTGTGGGAAGAGTGAAGAGAAGTCTGAGATCACGCTCCTTCAGAACATGTAGAAGAATAACTCCAAGGAAAACTGTTCTCTTCCTGGTACATCTCTATGTTAACCAATGCTGGTTAAAGGCCCGCACAAATAGTATTCTTATGATTACATCAGACATGTGTGTTCCAGTCCTATTCCAGACAGGTTCTAACTCCTTTCCTGATGGAGAGGCCTCTAGGAATATGAGAAAAGGCTAGGAACTGGAATGGACAGAGATTTTTTTTTTCTTAGTTGATGGTCTCTCAGAAACTTCTAGACTTGAGAGAGCTGAAATCCTTACTTGCCATATAGCTCATGACAAGAAGCAGTGCCTTTAGCGGGTTTTGTCTCCTCTCACAAAATAAGGCAAGATATAGGGTCTCAAAAACCTCTGTGAGTCTGGCGTGGGGTGCTGACGCACATGAACTCATTATGAGAGGGGCTTCTTCGGTTCACTCTTGGAGGTCTCTCCCATGCCCACTTCCACCCCTTAGGGTTTAATTCACCTCCCAAGTCTTCTAGAAGAAAGAGAGGCTTTATGTAACATGCTTCCATTACTTAGACCTTGGTCAAGTGCACTTTCACAGCCTCCTTTGGCTGGCTTTAGCCATGAACTTCCTTCTGTCTGTCTAGATACCTCTCATGATTGGGTTGACAGCCACTGTCACCGTCACTTTGTTGCCATGGCAGCCTGTGCGTTTCCACTGAGCAGTTGTGTGTTGACTGTTACCGCGACAGGTTGTAACGAGAATGAGGCAGACCACTTGGACCGGGACCAGCAGCCTTACCCGCCCTCTCAGAAGACCAAGCGCATGAGGACCTCCTTTAAGCACCACCAGCTTCGCACCATGAAATCCTACTTTGCCATCAACCACAACCCGGACGCCAAGGACCTCAAGCAGCTTGCCCAGAAAACAGGCCTCACCAAAAGAGTCTTGCAGGTAAGACACCTCCATCGTTGGCTGTACACACACGGCCCCCTCTTCCCTGGTCAGATGAGATTTCCTGTACTGCTTCTTTCTAGCTTCTAGCCGTTATCTCCCTAAAGGGTGCACAGGCACTTCCTGGAGGGTGCTTAAGGAGAGACCCACGATGCGTTTTGCTGTTTTGTTTTGTTTTGTTTTTTGAAACACAGCCGCCTTCTCTGTACACATGGGGAGGTGGGTCCCCCACAGTCAGCACAGCTTGCCTCACTGTTGTGCAAATGCACAACAGTGTTCTTTGCACAGCTGGGGCTGTGGCGATTCCTGTTCACTTTAGGCTTAGTGCACACACTGCTGAGGGACCTGCTGGCACTGTCTTACTTCCGCAAGTTCTTTGCAGCCTCACTCAACATACTGTGGACTTCCAAATTCAGGCAGATCTTTTTCTCCCTAAGTACCCCCAAAAGCCAAAAATAGGGTTAGTGTCTCAGCCACCAAGGAGAGTAAGTATTTCTCTTTCTTCACAAACCCTAGATAGAAACTGGATCCTGGGAGTGATTGTTGCTGTCCAGTTGTTCCTCTAAACTCCTTAGACTAGCAAAATGCAGCTAAGGCAGGTGCAATTGTGAGGCAGCCGTGACCTCCCTCAGCACTCCTTGACAAAAGGCAGGTGTTTCTGCCTGCCCTGCTGTTTGGGACAGGGGTGCTCATTCGGTATTAGTGACTTACTTCCTGGTGCTTTCCTGGCCTGCCCCTCCCCCATTCTCTAGGAGAACAGGTGAGGAATCAGGGCACCTTCTCCCCTCTTCTCCCCCTGTGCCTCCCTCTCCCCTGTGCGTCCACTTCAGGATCAACAGAACCAAGTGGCACTTGTCAGTCCTGGGGGGACAGTGCAGTTGACAATCGACCTGTAGTATTACTGAGGTTACTGGGTTTTAACAGAAAGGGCAAAAAAAGTCCTTTTGCTCGCAAGAAAAGGAAAGCATTTATAGTTAAATGGAAACACATATTTAAAAAAAAACACTTTAAAACAAGGGAGAGAGAAAAAAAAAGAAATACAAAAATCAACATCGGTAAAGAAATCAATTGGGATTGGTTTGCAGGTTTGGTTCCAAAACGCACGAGCCAAATTCAGAAGGAACCTTTTGCGGCAGGAGAATGGGGGTGTTGATAAAGCTGATGGCCCGTCGCTTCCGGCCCCGCCCTCAGCAGACAGCGGCGCTCTCACTCCACCCGGCACTGCGACCACTTTAACAGACCTGACCAATCCCACTATCACTGTAGTGACCTCCGTGACCTCTAACATGGACAGCCACGAGTCTGGAAGCCCCTCACAAACTACCTTAACGAACCTTTTCTAACATTGGTTTTTTTATTTTTTCATTCTTCCTCTTCTTTTTATTACTATTCTAATTATTATTATTTTATTATTTACAAGACTTTTTTTTTTTCCCTCCTTCTTCTAACCCGCAAGATATTTGGGGAATAAAAATAACAGCTTGGTGTGTAGCATCTGCAGCCACTTGGCAAATGAGTTTACAGTACTGTCTCCTTTAAGTGAACATATTTTGTCTACAAAGTGTATTTGGAATATATTTTTTTCTTTGATTCATTAGGTCTTTCAGTAGGTAAGGGGAGTTTTCGAATCATTCTAAGAAGTGCCTCTTAAAATTGTATGTTTCTTATTTCCAGAATCTCAAAGAAAAAAAATGAGAATGGTATTATGACGGGCAAATAATCATACTCCCGCATCAATGATTAGGGTTATACTGAGTCAAAGAATGAAATTTCACTTCTGAAATTTGCAGTTGTATATGTGATTGTGGAATTTTGAAAACTTCACATTTAAAAAAATTTTACAACTGAAAAATTGTATTCAATATTCCTATTTCTTACCTGAAGTGTTAATTCAAATGAGGACTATGATTAAACCAAGTTATCACCTGTAGCAATTTTAAGTAGTAATTAGGTGGGAATCTACTCCAGGAATGTGACTTTTCCTTCTCTTTTCAACATGTAAAAATTACTTAAACACCCTGTGTTTCCATGGAAATTTCACATTAAATTTGAAATTCTACGCTTTTAACTTCGTAAAGCTAAAAAGAACAAACAAAACAAAACAAAACAAAATTCCAAAAAACTCTGAAACCATTCCTTCTAAATTACTTTTTCTGGGGGAAATGGAAATAAGCAAAACATAATTTTTTAAGAAGTCAAAATTGGTATAATTTAATCAAAAGCTATATTAATTGGCTTCAGCTGTACCATAATATTGTCTCTGGCATTTTATATAAATAATGTTTAAAGAATCCAACTTGGTAGACTAACGTCAACAATGAGAAATTTTTGGCTTTGTTTCACTTTATTTTATTTGGGCACAGGTTGACTTATGTGTTGAGAAAAACTTTTCCTATGTTAGGTATTGGAAGTTATTCATCCTGAAGCAGATAAACTCAAAAGCCTAGTGGATGCTGATCTGAATCTATTTCCTAGTTTACAGTAGCATTTTTTCTTTTCTTTTAATTTAAGCTAAAATCTTATTGGTCTGGGCAGTGGTGAATGTTCATCTATATGCTTCTGTTGTAGTTAAATACCAATTAGATGTGGATTTCCTAAAAAAAAAATAAAAATAAAAAAGAAGTCAAGATATACGTCTTGCTTTAGTGGATTGTTAAGAATAACTTTGCACATAGTATCCACTTTTTGGACCCCTTAAATCTTCTCCGGTGGTCTAAGTGGCTATTTAACAGATTTTCAAGGTGTCCTTCTGGTTGTATAAATGTGTGGTTACATATTGACAGTTCACTGCCCACATTAAAGTGCATTATTGTAACTTTTGCTCAGGGTCTTTAGAAAATTAGCACAGAAAGTAGCTTATTTTTTAAAAAAAAGATGATGGAAGAGATGTTAACACTGTAACAGAAGAAGGGTGTGATTGCCATTATATATTTAGCAAGTGTGGTTATCATCTTCTATGGAGCTTAAATCTTGACTTTTCATATTTCTATTACATTTTGGGCATTTACCACTAACCAGACCAAACAACCTTGGTAAAGCTGAGATCTTATTAATACACTTTTACAGGTAAAATATTGATACTTATAAATTTTGTTCTTTGACAGAACAATATATGGTACTATAGATCTACTTTATTAAGTAGACTGATTATAACTCAGTTCTCCTATGTGCCTTATGATATAACTTGGAAGTAAGTTTGTGAAAAATCAGGATATATGTGTTGTTTGTTAAATTAACTGTTTTAAGCCCTTTTGACACCTCACTAGTTTTGTACTGTTTTACCTCTTATTTCTGAAACTCTTTTTATGGTGTATCCTGTTAGAGGGGGCAAACATGTCATAGAAAGCAGTTGTGCACTCTTTCAAATATAGTGGATAAATTCAATAATCTTATATATTGAGCTTCGTGTTTATAGTACAGTAAGTGGTCTAGCAAAATTGTCCATGTTTCTTTGTTTATTGATAAATGCATTGTATAGAAACTATTTCCCCTAAATATTTATGGACCAAACAGTTGTGATATATCCTATTAAATTTGTGTGAATAAACCATTTTGAATCTAAGGAGTTTTATTTCCCATCAGTTTTATTTAAATTTTACCTGTACTAGTGTGTTTCCAATGTCTGTATGTGAAACCTATTAAAATGGTGGAACAAGATTATTTTAAATATTCAAACATACAAATAGTTTTTAGATGTCCGAACTTCTGATTCATATTAAATGCACACACCGTTGCATATGCAGTATAATTCAACCTAGAAGTACCTTGAAATATATTTGCTGATAATAAACGTAATGCCCCACTGATTTGACTCAGTCCCATCTTTAGAATAAAAAATAAATTAGCAGAGAAAGTAGTTGCATGAAAAGAAAGCTTAAATATGATTAAGATTTAATGCCAGGTCTATTGAGCACAAATGGATATTTGTAAATCTAAATAGAATTGCAGACCCCTGAAAGCCAAGTTGCTCTGTAGTTAATAAATTGTCACTATGATTTTTTTCAGGGAGAACAAATCTTGGGGCATTACAGCCAAACATCCCGACGTTTGAAAATTCCCTAAAGTATTAAAAGAAGGGGAAAAGTTTGATCGGAAATCCACTGCAGTGAAGACAAAGACACTATTAGGTTATGATAATCATACATTTAAAAATTTATTGAGCCAAAAAGAGAGAGAGAGAGACAGAGACTTAAGTGTCATTTACTGAATGTTAACAAAACTTCTGTTCTTTACGGTGTCTAACACAAAATGAAGGCTTAAAATCATGTGGCTTAAAATGAAACCAGATAAACCAGGTGCAAACCAGAGCAGCCTGGCAGTAATATGCCCACCCCATATTTGAAGAAAATTATTATTGAAAAAAATCCCACACATTTGTCAAGCACAAATAGTTGTAAAATAAAGTCCAAAAGACGTTCATTTCACTTGCTTGCTAATGTGTATCAGTCCTCTCTGTTCATGGCATTTTACAATTGTAAATTCAAAGAAGAGCTACCACTCATTTACGAGTCTAGGGATCAGACCCCAGTAACTTTAGTATTATTGTTTATTACTTCCTTTTAAAACAGAAATCTGTGCATGCACCCTTAGATCTGTCACCTCTAGTGTACATCTCTGTATGATGACTTATCTTTGCTGTTTCTTGTATGATAAATAGCTTTCATTAATAAACATTTTATTTGGTGCAAACATAGTTAACTTTATGTTAAACATAAGTTAATTTTGAACACTGGCCTTAAGAGGCAGCCCAGCACACTTACAACTTGTTGTGTATTTAGGACAAACTCCAAACAGTATAATGAGGTTACATTCTGGCAGTCTAGGATAAAATTATTTATTTGGTTCTTAACTTTTCATGACTTATTTTCTTTTGTTTCATTCCATTGACATGTACATTAAAAATAAAGAAACAAAGTAAACTGAAATTGTGATGAAAATAAACCTCAGAATAAGCTGTTATGTAAAATTCCAGCAACCTTTTCAAATTATTAGAGTAACATTTATAGATCCTCTGAGTTTACATGTTTGCTATGCAATGAGTGAGTTTATTGAAGTATACAAATATATACTGAGCTATGAAGAGATCCAGTCTTGGCATAGTTCATGGGTCCATACTGCAAACAAAAGAGCAAGTGAAAGCAAAAGAAGTATTTAGGAATGAGGTTTTTTAATTATTAAAGGGACTATTTGAAGAAAGAATTTTTTTTATTCCTAGTTAGCTTTATATCCAAAGCATATGTTAAACAAATTAACATATAAAATACTTTCCAGAAAATTTTTCATAACGATGAAATTTTTATTATATACAAATGAACCGTATGTAAATGATGTAACTTTTATGAGTGACAGACATTAAATATTTCACTTACACGTATTCTCAGAATTTTGAATGTTCTCTTAAATTCTTTCACTTCCTAAATACTTAAGAAAGAAATTTTAAAGAGAGAGCGACTTACTAACAAAAAAAGCAATTGCACGTGACAAGTAGACCAATGGAAAACACGTTGGTCTTGTCAGTAACTTGATGTTTATGCCTCATTGAAACCTCCTCTATGACCATCGCAGTTTAAATAGATTTTCCAATACTTTTCTAGCCAGTTGATTCCAATCTGTATCCTACAGCCTTGCCCTCTTGCCTTGTTCTGTCACCTATGGCAGTTTCATTTAGAAACACTTTGGAACCTCGCCTGGTTTTACAGACCTTTAAATATTTGTCTGGTATGTGAAATGCGGGAAGAGACCAAAGAGGGAAAGAACATAACTGAAATTAGACATCTGAAAAAAATGATACAAATTTGAAACAGGCACTTTTTTTTTTTTTTTTTTGGTTAAAAAAAAAAGAAAGGAAAGGAGCACTAATGAGTGGGAAGAGAAAAAAGTACGAGGTGGAGCGGGGCAGGCCAGCATGCTTGGGCGACTGCACACGTGTTGTTTGGCATGGCCTAGAAGAATTCAGGAAGCAGGGCACCAGACTTTCTTAGCTGCTGCCTCCCTCTGCCTAGGCTCGTCTAACTCGTGGCAAATGGATCTGGGACAGGAACAGCTTTCCTGAGAGTGCCTGTGAGCTTTGGTTAAATAGCCATCTTCATGCGGACTTACATAGTGGGTAGGTTTTTGATACCTCAAAGAAGGATGGAAATCTATCATTAAAGGGACCCAAAGCAAGCATCTTTAAAAGCTTGGTGATTTTTCATTGCCTAGAAAAGAAATTGCTTTATTTAACAAAATCCCAGCAGAACCCACTGTTCATAATTTGAAGTCAAAGCAATTTTTTTTTGTTATCCACACATATAAATAGCATTTTCTGGTGTGGTATACCTGCAAGGGGTGTTGTGGTGGAAAGCCTTAGAAATGGGAACTTTTGGAATGGAAATTTGGAGTCATGTCATTCTAGACTCTTAAAGAGATTATTAGGGATAATATTGCTGTTCCAAAAGAGAAATATAAACACATAATTTTGTATGAAGCTTTGCTATTTAATTTTTAACTATGTCATAAACAAGACTAGCTTTACTTATAGAGAGACTGTGTACTCTCAAGGTGATGAAATACCTTTTACATTTTATGGTCTTTAGACATCACGGTGAAATAAAGACACTAGGACTTAGCAGAAAGTGAAGAATTTTCATTGTATTTCTTTGAAGCCATATATATGGACAAGCTCTGGATTGGCCTTTTTGATCTGTTGTCTATTTTGTAGTAACTAGGACCCAACTCTGAATATTGAAATAAATAAAAATTCTCCCATGTAAAGCCTCAGCCCTTTGCTTTACAGCCCATGTCAAAAGTAAGAAGTGATTTTCTTTGTGATTTGCTTTATTGATTTTAAATGCTTTCATGATCTTTATTCTGCCCTCACAATATTTCTTTCAGAATAATATTATGGTTTACTTTATCTTTAAAAAAATTATGACTCTAAGTTAATGTATTATTTTGAATGCCCTGTGGGGAGGTTTCCTTTTTATCTTGCCTGGTTCCCTAGAAAAAATATACAAAAAAAAGTCAGAACTGTGCATGATATCCAAGGAAAAGTCTCTGAATATAAGTGCAATATTATTGCCACAACTAAATTTCTTTTTAACTGTGTTGCAAAAACAGATATCATTGCATATCGTTCCTCACTTGCAACATTTCCCTGTGAATATTAATATTGTTAGTCCTTCCTTATAATGCATCACGTCGATAAATTTCTCTTCCCTTGGATTAATTTTTGCCTCTTTTGCATTGCATTTTATCTTGTGCTGAAGTGATTAAAAGCAGGCAAGAATGAAGATCCAGGTCCTAGCCATATGTAGAAAGCTGCTGGTGTGCATTTCTGTGTACTTTCCCCTCAACTATTAGAATGTCAGGAACATATTCCTCCCCTTTGGAACTTCCTGTTTACATCTTGCATGATCTTATAAATTATATCTGAAGAGTAACTGGATACCTTTTATGGTTATTTGAAAATAAAATTTGCTACAAATAAGAACTTTCAGCCTCTGTTGCCTCATATTATGCATGAATTATTATTTTTTTCATACCTTTACATTGAACAGAAAATATTAACCTCAGAGGACATTTAAGTTGTTATTTATGACAAATACACAGAGATGAAGGCATCCAAAGGTGAGATTGCATTTACTTGGTCATCCTCATTCTGCTGCTTTTCCTTTTCCAAACATCGTAAAAGACTACCAGTTTTAACTTTGACATTCAAGGATTTCGACAGTTTGCATCACTTACCATAGTGTTTATTATTCAGTAAACTTTAATTCTACGGAATCAATGCCCTTTATGAAATGTGATTTTTGAGAATCACAAAGGTATTTCAGGGCATCACGCAGCTGAAGCTGTTTGGATTCTGCAAGCAAATAGTTTTTTATAAGAGAAATATGATGCAAAACTATTTAAATATAATATTTATAGCATTTTATCTGATTGACCTAGATGCCGTATAGAAATTTTCAAGAACCATAGAAATCCCCCAGATGTTAGGATATCAGTAATTAAGTGGTGGTATTTTCTGTACTATACCTTGAGACAGCTTATTTGACAAATGCATTGACGTAGTTACTTTTCTGTCTGAGTGGGATCTGGGGTGTTCTCCTGGATATTCTGATGACAAAGGGAGATTTCTGTTCCTAAGGACTGGGATACAGTTCTCTGTCCAGTCTTGTTAAATTCAGCATCCCGAGCCTGCGTGTGTCGCGTGTGTTTCCTGATACTCCTGAAATGATCTGTATTAATAACAAGACTAGTGACTTAAATTCGTTTTTAATTAAAAGCAAACAGGCAAATTAATGAAAATCGTTGTCTCCAATTGAGCTACTGTAATAGGCCTGTTTTCATGAGGCTAACCTGAAGCTATACTCCCCAAAGCTTCCCTGTGAATATAAGTGTAACATTTTTCCGTTTGAGTTTCCTATTGTCATTGAACTTGCCTATAACTATGCTTTTCTTTTTTTTTGTACTAGACTTTTGCTGTTTTGAACTTTTCTGTTCAACAAAGACTGACTAAGGCTTACATAAACAATCAAAACTGAAAAGACAATTTTTGTGGGAATGAGTAATTTAATGTACTTTACTGCTAGAAGAGGCGCAGTAGATGGGGCCAGTGCTGTGGCCCTGTACAGCCCCAGCCTGTAGCCCTGCCATCCCATACTGGTGCCAGTTCAAGTTCAAGTCCTGGCTGTTCCACTTCGGATCCGGCTCCTTGGTAATGAGCCTGGGAAAGTAGCGGAGGATGGCCCAAGTCCTTGGGCCCCTGCACCCATGTGTAAGACCTGGAGGAAGCTCCTGGGTCCTGGCTTCAGATTGGCTCAGTTCTGGCCATTGTGGCCATCTGGGGAGTGAACTAGCAGCGGGAGGATCTCTCTCTCTCTCTCTCTCTCCCTCCCTCCTTCTTGCTCTTTCTCTCTCTCTCTCTCTCTCTCTATATATATATATATACCTCTTTCTGTAACTCTTTCAGATAAATAAAATGAATATTCAAAAAAAAAAAAAAAAGAATAGGCACAGTAGGAACAAAACGTTCTTTGGAGAACATTTTGTCTTATATTGAACATAATGAATCTATTAGAGCGGCTGGATCTCAGTGAATTCATTAGTTAGTGAGTGTACATTTATTGACCTACCCATGGACAAGCACACCTATGCTGTGCAAATATTCATGCTACCTAACAGAGCAGGATCCTAGCTTGCAAGGAACATTTTACTACGTATGTGACTTCCGTAGCTTGAGTATCTGTTAAGTGGTGGATTATGAATCATTTGCTGTCAACACTGATACTTTCTGTTTCTCTGGAGTGCCATTTATTGGGACATTTCACCAATGAAAGTTCTCTCCATGGACCTTGGTTTTCTTTTGTCTTAGATCTAGGAAAACCAGAGAACCATTCTCTGTGTAGGAAAGATCCTCACTAGGTTGTCTGATTCAAATCCCCACTGTTTTTTTCTCATTGAAGCAGAAATCACCCAGACCAGTGTATACCATTGCTAGTTTGCAAACAATTGTGGGACTTCCTCAAAAAAGTACAGCTATCAAGAGTTTCCTTTCAGAATCTGCAGATTTACTCATTTTTTAAAGATTTATTTTACTTATTTGAAAGAGATACAGAGACAGAGGGAGAGACAAAGAGAGAGGTCTTCCATCCACTGGTTCACTCCCCAAATGGCCACAACTGCGAGAGCTGGGTGGATCTGAAGCCAGGAGCCAGGAGATGCTTCTGGGTCTCCCACGTGGGTGCAGGGGCCCAAGGGCTTGGGGCATCCTCTGGTGCTTTCCCAGGGTGCATTAGCAGGGAGCTGGGTTGGAAGTAAGGCAGCCAGGACTTCACTCAGTGCCCAAATGGGATGCTGGTGCTGAGGCCAAGGCTTTTACTTTCTTGACCACAGCGCCAGCACTGATTTACTTTTTTTATTTTTATTAAAAAAAAAAAAACATTGCTTAAGCAAAATCATTGCAATAATATGGCCACTACTGAAACCTCTTATAAATTGCTTCTGAATTGTTGGTGAAAGTTGTATTCCATTTAGAAAGATCACAATTCTTTGAAATGCCAACAGTTATTACTGCAGAGAATTTTCTACAAATGGTCGGTTTCTATTCAGTGCATCAGTTGCTCACCACCAAGCCTCCTAAATTCTCTTTCATCTCCCTTCTATTCCCATCACACCACTGAAACCACTTTTTAAAAAGTTAGCAAGCATTCTCTGGTCACCCAAATCATGGCATTTTCTCTGTCTTATTGACATGGACTTTTGTGCTAAATTGTGCCCCCCTTGCTTTTTCAGGAAACTTCTCTTTAAAACTCTTCCTCCGCAGGCCGCACACCCACTGCTTCTCCCTGTGTTTCTGCTGAGGCAGAGTCGGCGGCACCACAGTCAGTTCCAGGCACTGCTCTCTGCTCGCACCCCACCTGCTTCCCCGGAAATGCCGTTGATGATGACTCCAAATGCATTGTTCAGGACGATCGTTCTGTAATTGCTTGAAGGGCAATGTAAATTAAGTTGAATTTACCTTTTCTTCTCACCAGATATCTAGACGTCCTCGCCTATTTTATTTTATTTTATTTATTATTTATCTGAGAGATAGGAGGAGAGAGAGAGAAAGGGAGATCTTAATCACTGGTTCATTCCCCAAACGCTCGTGATGGCCAGGCCAGGTTGAGGTCAGGAGCCAGGAACTCTCCAGATCTCTCACATGGATCACAGGAATTTTTTTTTTTTTCTTGACAGGCAGAGTTAGTGAGAGAGAGACAGAGAGAAAGGTCTTCCTTTTTCCGTTGGTTCACCCCCAAAGTGGCTGCTATGGCTGGCATGCTGCAGCCGGCGCACTGCGCTGATCCGAAGCCAGGAGCCAGGTGCTTCTCCTGGTCTCCCATGGGGTGCAGGGCCCAAGGACTTGGGCCATCCTCCACTGCACTCCCGGGCCACAGCAGAGAGCTGGACTGGAAGAGGGGCAACCGGGACAGAATCCGGTGCCCCAACTGGGACTAGAACCCGGGGTGCCGGCACTGCAAGGCGGAGGATTAGCCTAGTGAGCCGTGGCATCGTGGCATCGTGGCATCGACCACATCACAGGAACTTAATTACTTGAGCCATCACGCTGCCTCTGAGGGTGAGCTGAACCAGGAAGTGAGCAGGGAACTGAACCCAGACACTCTGATAGGGGATACGGGCATCTTCACTACCAGCATCAGTGTCTTCTGAGACCTTCTCATTTCTGTCCGTGATGTGCCTGCAGTTCCTCCCAGTCACCTGGACAGGGAGTCATCCTTCCCTCTATCACCTTCTCCCTCCCCTTTAAGAAAAATGGTCTCATTTCCTTCTGCCACCAAATCCTCTCCATCCTTTCCATATTCTATGTCTCTGGTCTAGGTCTCATCTACCTCTCTTTTTGCCTTTCCCCTTTCTGCTGTATTCACTGGAGCTGTTTTCTCACCTTGTGGGAAGACGGTCTCTGCAGGAAGCCTAGGAGCTGCTTCAGATCCTGTGCTGCTTCCCTGACCCCACCCTCTGCTCCCCCGGAAAGACAGAACCAATAGTTAGAAGTCTTTAAAAGTGACTGGCACTGTGGTGCAGTGGTTAACACCCTGGCCTGAAGTGCCGGCATCCCATATGGGCACCAGTTTGAGTCCTGGCTGCTCTACTTCCCATCCAGCTCTCTGCTATGGCCTGGGAAAGCAGTACAAGATGGTCCAAGTCCTTGGGCCCTTGCATCCCCCTAGGAGACCTGGAGGAAGCTCATGGCTCCTGGCTTCACATCGGCCCAGCTCTGACCATTGAGGTCCTTTGGGGAGTAAACCAGTGGATGGAAGACCTCTCTCTGTCTCTCTGTCACTGTCTCTCTCTCTCTCTCTTTCTCTCTCTGCCTCTGCCTTTCAAATAAATAAATAAATCTTAAAAAATACAAAGTCTGGGTTTGTGGGCAGACCTCCGTGGGTGATGCCCCAGGTCATGGTAAAGTTGTGGTTCTTTCTGGGGACCAACCCCATGTGGCAGGTTGTATGGAGAAGCAGAAGAATCATGGACTTTGGACAGAGACAGACAGACCTGGGTTCAGCATCTTCCTCACCCACTGCAATCCTGGACCAGGCCCACTTCTGTCTTCCTGGAGTCGCATCTTTGGGGATGTCCTTGTGCCTGAGCCCTCCTGTGTCCTGCAACAAGAGTCATCTTTCTAAATGGCACCTCCAGCTGCACTTTGTTTTTCAGTAGCTTCAATGGATTCCCAAACACCTACTCTTGCCTGAGACAAGGCTCTTCATAGCATGACCCCGCCTTACTCTTCCAGTTTAATGTTCGCTCTTTCCCAACACTAACCCCTCACTGTCCACAGCACAGCTTGCTTTAATTCTCACTGACTTGCTTTGTACATAATGTCTTCTCCACTTTTCATCACTTTCTGTATGTCTTACACATTCTTTTTTCCTCCATTCTTTATAAAGAAAAATCTAGAAGAAATAAAATCACTATCTCCAAATACTG